TTTCCAAGGCACAGACATCAGATAGGTACGCTCCCCTGAGATGAAAGAGGTCAAGTTACAACCAGTTCCACCACTTCACTCCAGGGCTCCTCCACCGAGATGGTTAACCTTCCCTTTCCTGTGAGAATCCGTCTAGAGAGAGTGGCATCTTCAGCTATCGCTGGCAAAAAGGTGGCACTGGGGAAAACCCCATTCAACCACACACAACACATGTTAAAAGTCTCGTGGTAGCTTGTTATTCCTGCAATTTGCTTAATGACATTCATAGGCCCTTCTACATTTCTACAGGCTAATCTTCCTGCTACAGCTTCTTTAATCCTCCTGCTATTTGGAGATGATGAGTGCCAGAATTCCCTCATCTCTCTCATGATACAGAGAGGACCAAACCTTTGTCCAGCCACATGCCACATTCTCTGACCAGGACAGAGATCCTCACTTACCTTTGAGAGGAATTGCAACAGATCCCACAGTTAACAGAGCACCGACTCACTTGGAGTGAGATAAGCTTTCTGTCCCTCTCTGAAGTCACCAAGAGTGTCAGCTTCTTCACATGCAAGCGGATACACACTCTCCTTGTTGGGCTTGCTCAGAAGTGGCAAAGTGCTGCCTACTGCCAAACCTCTGCCACCTCCGACAAACTCTGCATGAGCTGGGATTCCCATTTCACCCCTACTCAACAAGAGAAGCAAGGAGGGCAAGGAAGAAAGAATCAGGGGTTTTAGGGGTGCTGGTTTTATTTTGTTTCTTTGACGAGCAGAGTTTCTTCTTCTTTTTTTTTTCTTAAGAAAACAAAATCAAGATTCTGGAGTGTGGTTTTCAGACCTGATGGCATCTAACAGCTGTCTTTTGTTGTGAGGAAGTTAGTCAAGTCTGAGACACTAGCTAGGACTGTCTGACAGAGGAGTAGCTAGCAAGTCTAGCATGCTCTAAATATACTCCACAATATTTCAGACAACTACCCCTAGACAACAAGGAGTGTCAGAACAGACTCCAGGCTTGTTGACATCTCCAAGATGAGCAGCTGATACAAGCCACAGATGGCCACCTGTGCCACAGAAGAGAAGACACTGGTGGTGAGGAGAGTGGAGAAGAGTAAAAGCTGTAATAAAAAGCAAGGGGGAGATCCCTGGAGAAAGTTTCAGTGACCCTGTTGCTGTTGAACTGGAAGAGCTGGAATAGCAGCAGCTAACGCAGAACAACTACCTTCCCAGGCAGTAAATGCAATCCCACACATTCTCTTCCCTCCACCTGCCAATCTTTAGGGAGAGCCAGCAATCTAGCATAAGCAAAATCCATCAGGATACTCCTGCCACTTTATCGCTGCTGGCAGTCTGCTGCCTTAGAGCCTGCTTAGCTGATGCCTGGAGCCAGTCTTCTAGAGCACCACTCTAGCTAAACCCCCACCTTCCCCTCCAGAGACACCCTACCCTCTGTATGTGGAGCCGGTGGAACTGGTCAGCAATGCACTGCAACTTCCGTGCAATCTGCACCTCGGCACGTGCTTCCCGCTGACCTTCCCGAGGCTCCTCTTGGAGGTGCGGATCCAACGCAAAGCCAACTGGAGGGACATGTAAACGGTAACCAGCATTCCCTACAAAACAGAGATCAGAAGAGTCATTCTTCCAGCGCACAGAATAGCTCTTCTACTCAGTATACTTTATGGAGGAAAGAGCTGCACATAATCCTGAATTTTTCGCTCATGTTAAAGTCCAATTCCTGAAGTCCAAACAATGACTGTGTACTGTAAGCATGCAGTAAAACATTTGCTCAGCTTTTAAGTAGATTTATATTGATTAAGCAGAGCATTGTGTTGCTTCCCATAATCAAATGACTGGCAGGATCTTACGCTTGGTTCCTTTTGCTTGTTTATAGTTCAGCCAAGTGCTGGGTTTTTTTTTTAATGACAATTTTGCAGTTTTACAAGATCTCTGCCTCAAGTTGTCTCCCATTAAAGGTTTCTGTATCTTTTCCGTCAGACTTTTCTCAGTTCTCTGGCATTTAGTGGGACTGATTTGAATTAAAGCTGAATCAGATACACAAAGCTAAGTGGTGTCCCATCAGTTACTAGTAAAATATATGGACATGCTACTTATTCAACAACTTTAACTCCAGTAAAGAGCCTAAAAGCTGTCCCACCAAGTGTAAATTTTTGCATCTCCCTCTCTCCACTGAAAACTTCTAGGAGTCTTCCTATGTGGATGAGACAGCACTAGAAGTTTAAAAATGTAGGCAAATCATAGGATACAAGGCATGGTGAGCACTTAAAGATCCAGCAGTAAAATAAAACGTGACAGAATAAAGCCAAAAAGAAAGAGTGGGAATATCAAGGACAGTGGAAGCAATGAGCAAGTGCCTGGTTCCTGCAGTGGACAAGCAAGGGTGAGAAAATACAAGCTGTCTTTCCTGAGGGAGTAGGACCAAAGCAAAATAATTTTCAGTCCTTTAATAAAACACCCTAATGAAAGAAACTTTGCTTGATTGGGGAAGTGCTAAAGGGACAGTTTCCTTGCTGTAAAGCTGGTGACACTGGAGTGCTCTTACCATAGAAGAGTCTCCGGGGCTCTTCAGTGACTCCACAAGGCAACATAACATCCTGACTGGAAGAGGACGGGCTGAGTGTTTGAGTTGCCTTGTCCTGCTGCTCAGGATGCCTGATACCGGGACCACAGCAGTGTGTGAGGGGGAATAGTTGAAACCTCCCCAGAAGGCAGCTGTAGGACTGGTTCTGTGTGAAAATGCCAGTTGCAGTCATCTCACCAGGCTGACCTGCAAGTCCAAAGTCATCAGAGTGAAACACGTCATCGTCCAGCCCATCCAGGCTAGAATAGTCCTCTTCCAGGTAGCCGGGGCGATCCATTGCTCCTGCAATAAAGGGACATTTGAGGAAACGGCTAAGACACAAGAATGTTGTCCAGAAGAGAATGCCTTCTGCTCCAACAATAAAACACAGCTCTTTTTTCCACGCCTGCCTGCCTGCCTCCCTCCCAGTGCTGCCCATCCGCCTAGGCAGGAGAGGCGAGTGACTCAGTGGTGAAGGTCAGGGCTTTGCGGGAAGTCCTTGAGTGCTGGGCCAGAGGGAGACAAAGTTCACACCTGTCTAAGAGTTCACCCACGGCTCCAATTCCACAACCGGTCACAAGGAGGGAGCCAACCCCCAACCTCAGCACATAGAAACTGGAAAGACATTGTTTTAAAAAGCAACCCCAACCCTTCAAATTGCCCCATGGCCAGTCAGCTTCTTTGGGGTCTGCTTTGCTTTGGCCTGCCGTATTTGAACCTTATGGTATGCCCCATTCACTTTTTCCCATCTATTACTTATTGATGAAGAAAAGCTCTTGTAATCACAAGGCTGCAAGGCCAGACTTTTAAGAAACCCCAGTGGCTGCAAAACTCAAGAGCTGGCAAAGCCATTTCTGTGAAGCTCTCCAAAACTTCTCCCTATAAGGGCTAACTTTCAACTTCTCATTTCTTCCCTCAGCTCAACTTAAGACATGTCCCAAACTTGGCAACGCAGTCACTTCATTACCCCTCTTACCCTAAAGCCTACATGCACTGTCAGTGCACTAGTTCACCCTACTACTAAGAAAAAACATTGCTGGTGTCAGTGTTTAAAGCAGGACTTCTATAGCTGCCATAGTAAACACTCCAAAGCTCTGTTGCAGCACAAAGCTGGACAAAGATGGTGGAGGAGAAAAAAACCCAAACAAACCCTAAATCACTATTTCAGAGCTCTTTGCAAACATATAGCAATTAGAAGCAGATTTACCAAAAAAGCCACAAGTCCCTTTACTGTTACCTGTGCAGCTAACCCAATTGGAAGACAGTCTCCTAAGAGATCCATCTCCAGGATTTCCACCCAGTTCCAAACAAGGCAGTGAAATTCAACTCTTCATGTCTCTTCCTTTGCTCTGGTTTGCGAAGCATTTAACAGAACGGAAGACTAGCAAGAGGAATTTCAGGCCTGAAGGAGACATTAATAATAATTTGATAAGGATGTGTTCAGCGCTCCCCTTGGTGCTCCCATCTCCCCCCAGGTGAGCAGCAGCAGCAGGCTGGAGGAGACAAAGGGACCCAGCAGTGCAAGAACTATTTGTGCAGGGCTCTAACCCGGGGGCACTACAGTTATTTAAGTTGTTGCATCTCAGCAGTTCACTCAGCCCAGCCACAACTCTCAAAGAAGAGTCTGCAGAGCAGGACAGGTACCAGCCCCACAGCTGGTCCAGCTCCGCTGGATGACAGCAGTGCTATCTTGGCATAACACTTGTAATATTCTCATCCATGGCTTAAAGTAGCACACCGAAAGGAGTCACAGGTCCTGAGACGCAGGCATGGATGATCTCCTGCCAGCTCTGCTGCTGGATCGCGATCACCTGGCAGAAAGGCAGGGCGAGAACGTATTTTGTCTTTGCAGCAAGGTTTGCCAGATCTCATCCGTCAGAGCCCCACTGGGACACGGGCATTCAGCGCAAGAAAGTGCAACAAAGGCACAAAGCGAGCCGGCAGACCAAACCCTGAACAAAAGAGGGTTTAGAGAGCAAGAAGTTTTACTCGACCTCCCACAATACGGTCCGACTTACTTCCCAGAGCTCTTAGGAAAAGCTGAAGAGAGAATGCCGAAGCAGCGTGAAGGATAACTCACCCTACAACTCACTT